ATAGCAATCTAATAGAAATCCAATTTCTAATTAGGCATCTAATAGATGAATCAAGTCCTTTAAATACTTAGAGATTGTTTTCTGTGCCACAGGCACCTGTAAATCTCATGCTGACCATGTCATTCTGAACATTCCAGAGGAACAGCAAAACTGCAAGCCACCAGTATTTCTCCAAAGGAACCCAGCACATATTCCTAATGCTCAAACTCTTCTTCAAGATTCGAGCTTTGGAGTCCAGGTGAGCCCTTATAGGTCATTTCTTCCCCTCAAAAGAGTTCAACCTAAGCAATTCTGGGGATCTCCCTTGAAGTAATTTTCTGTGTTTCAAACATGGTGGTATGTTGGTAAGTCAGCCTACTCAAAATAGAAACCATTGCTTGAATTCACATCCTTTCATATTGACTTAAAACTTTTTTTCCCAGCGAGTTGGACCCCTTTAATTATGATTGACAGTTTCTAGTCTTCCTGATTGCAAGAATTGGGTATGTCTACTCTAGTGAAAAGAACAGGGTGTGGGCAGTGTTCTAATAGTGTATCTAAAAGAAGAGGGGTTCAACCTATTCCCCAAAGCCCCGGAAGGCAGGACAAGGAGCAATGGATGGAAACCAATCAAGGAGAGAAGCAACCTAGAACTAAGGAGAAACTTCATGGCAGGGAGAACAATTAATGAGTGGAACATCTTGCCTTCAGAAGTTGTGGGTGCTCCATCACTGGGGTTTTAAGAAGAGGCTGGGCTGCCATTTGTCCCAAATGATACAGGGTTTCCTGCTTGGACTAGAAGACCTCCAAGGTCCTTTCCAATTCTGTTATTCTGTTAAGCTTGGTACTGAGAAATGTAAGCAAGTTACAAGTAGTCCGTGACCTATGACCACAATTGAGCCCAGAGTTTCCATTGCTAAGCAAGATAGTTGGTGTGAGTTTTGCCTCATTTTAGGACCTTTATTGCCACAGTTGTTAAACAAATCACTGCAGTTGTTAAATGAATCATGCAGTTGTTAAGCACGTGTTGACTTTGCCTGTCAGAAGTCATCTGGGAAGGTTTGTGTAACCACCAATGGTGATCCCATGACTTCCAGAGCCCTGCAACATGCCAGCTGCCAAGCACACAAGTTTTGATCACGTGACCAGAGGGATGCAGTAGTGGTCGTAAGTGTGAAAACTGGTCACAAGTTCACTTCTTTCAGTGCCATTGTAACTTTGAATGATCACCAAACAAATGGCTGTAAGACACAGACTACCTGCATTAATGTTAGGAAGAAAAATGTACTTTGCCATTTGCTGCTCCTGCCTGCCTGCCCACCATGGTTCAGAGCCTTTGGGGAAACTGCCCATCGGAGCCATTCATTTGAGCCCCAGCAAGTTGGACGGGAAACAGGGAGCTTGGAATAAGCCAGACTCCCCCCTCCCCCCTTGGGGTTGTGGCTGCCCCTGCCGGAGATTCATAGAAACCGGCTTGGGACAGAACCGTTTCTGAGGAGCAGCAGCCCCCTCTGGGCATCCTCAGCCAGGCTGGACATACCACTAAGTTACAGCCACAAGATGACTTTTGGGTTTTCCACCTCACAGGCAGGAATTAGTGGCTCCCATGAGCAGGAGAGGGGGGGAAAGAGGCAGCACCTTCCATCACCAATAAGGCAAAGCTTGGAATAGCAAGTGCTGACTTGCTCAAAGAGCCACTGCTGCCGCCGCTACCATGTGGGTGGATTTGGCAATTGACAGCGTAGGCGGTGATCTAAGTGTGTTTCTGACGAAGAAGAAGAAGAAGATGGTATGCTTAGTAAGCGCGGGGTAATGTGTTGGCAAGACATTGAAATCATGTGCTTTTTCTCAGGCTCTGTTAAACAAACAGGCCTGTCTTTTCCTCCTCTCCAATCTCAAAATGCTTGAAGTGAAATTGGAAGGCAAGCCCACTCCCAGGTGTTACTTGAGTGACTCATGCTGAATGAGACAGGGTAGGCGGGGAGCTCTTCTCGGAGCACGTACACCTTCCTCTTTCCTGCGCAAAAAGCAGCTCTGCTCTCCTGCATCAAACCAAGGGGAAAGCCTGCTTTCGCTCTGCTCAAATCTATGCCTGCCAAGCTGCAGGAAGGAGATCCCCCTAGCCTGGGCAGCTGCCCTCCCAGCCTCCAACTCTGGGGAGTCCCAGCAGCTGAGAACCGTAACTTTGCCTGAAGCAGACAGGCACTGAGGTGCACTCAACAGGTGGGGCGGGGGACTGCCCCCCTTTCCTCGCTGAGGCAGCAGGGCAGGACTCTAGCAGGTGCCACCTCCAAATAGAAGGTGTGACATTGTTGGTTGCAAGGCCTCCTGCTTTGACTGTCTTCAGAAGTCAAACGGCATGAGTCACACCTTCTGATTTGCAGTCCTCTAGCAACACGAATACAACGTGCAGAGGCTGGAAAATTAGTCACAATCTGGCAGGGAGGGCGTCCCCCATGGCTAGCAAGGGAGAAGCTACCTGGGGTATTTATTCTCCCTGAGAAACAGCTACTTGTTTGTTGAATAAGCTAAACCTCCAGTCTTCTCAGGCCCCAAGAACAAGGAACGACACAATGGAGTTACTTCTGAGTAGTTTTTCTTCTTGTTTTTCACCTGCAGACACAATCTTGCCTGACAAAGCAACTATTTGCATAACTACAGATGTTTATTTAATCGATTTTAAAACCTGCCCACCCACCTCACAGAAGGTCTCTGGGAATCACTAAGGGGAACCACCATTTTACTCTCTTCCTGCAGACCAACATTTCCAGGCTCCACATTCTCTGTGCCTTCCAGAAACCAGCTCCTCCCTCCTAGGAATCCAGACTAATTTCTCCACACTTTTCCTGTTAACTCACCCCAAAATAGTGCTGGCCTTTTGAGCAGGAGCATTGCTTTGCTGGTTCTGATTTAACTTGCCATCAACAAGAACATCCAATTCATTTTCATATCTTGTTTTTCATTTTTCCTATTCAGATACAGGGCTTTATATTTCTCCTTGATAATCTTCATTCTGTTCATTTTTAATCATATTTTATTGAACATTTTATTACAATGGCAAAAGCAAATAGAAACTAAACCCAGAGGGGAAAAAAGCAAGGAGCAAGAATGCAAGAAAAGAAAAAAAAGTACGGGTAGTCCTCAACTTACAATTTAGTGATTGTTTGAAGTTGCAATGGGTCTTCTGAAGAAAGGGTCTTCTGACCATTTTTCACATTTACACCCATTGCAGCAGCATCCCCAGGGTCACATGATCAAAATTCAGCCGCTTGGCAACTGGCATGTATTTATGAGTGTTGCAATGTCCCAGGGTCATGGGATCACTTTTTGTGACCTGAGAAACAAAGTCAATGCAGCTGTGTTACTAATTTAACAACTGCAGTGATTCACGTAAGAGCTATGGCAAGGAAGGCTGAAAAATGGAGCAAAACTCCTTACTATCTTGCTTAGCAACAGAAATTTGGGACTCAATTATGGTCTTAAGTCGAGGACTACCTGTAGGGAAAAAAAGGAAGGAAATATTTCAAGAAGTTACTTCTGATCTTCATCACAAGTATAAACAAGTTAGTAATTTTTCAATCCTACAATGTTACAAAAAACATATCTTATTTCTACTACCCATTCCTTATCTATATGCATATCCATAAACCAACAACTTTTCAGTCCAGGTTTAAGCAAAAGTCTGTAAAAGGTTACCAGAATTTAATAGACAACTTGAAAAAAATGGAACTTTGAAGTTTTATATGTTGAAAGCAGCAGGAATGCTCTACGCACAAAAATGAAAAATAATAATACTTTAATTCCTACAATGGACAAATGGCTGCAAAAGCTGATGGAGTTAGCAGAGATGACTAAACTGATTGCTTTAATTAGAGAAAAGAATTGGAAACCACTTCTGAACTTTATGCTTGAGGTAGGAATAAAATGACATTTTGATTTTGGGTTTTACCAATTAGATAGGTTTGTTGTTATAGAAATGGTTAGTATATATACTCAGTAAAAGCAAAAAGTTAAGGCTCTGTGTTATCTTCTTCTACTGTGCTAAGAACCAAAGTCAGTGCTTTTCTTTCTTTTCCCATTTTTACCCCACACTTTTTCCTCTTTTCTTTTTCCTTACTTTCCCAATATTTTCATCTTTCTTTGTATTTTATATTTTTATAAACTAATAAAAGTATTTTTAAAAGGATTATCAGAGCTTTTATATTCCTTCCCTTTACTTCTAACAATCTTAATTTTTAATTTATTCATTGTCATAAGACTTGATCTTTTCCTCATTCACTTGATCAAACCTCTTTTGTAAATTCATAAAAAGTCATTATCCAGGTTATTCCCTTGCTTTATCATTTATATTTTTATTAGTAAGTCTTTAACCAACTCCTTTTGTATATCCAGTAGTAAGTCCTTAATAAGTCATTCTCTTGGCTTGTCATTTATGTTTTCACATTAGTCGTCTTTTCTTATAGTCCATGGTTTTCCAATTTTCCAATATTTATTGTTCTAATAATTTTGCATTGAGCAAAATTTGTTCCTTCTCTTTATCCTGTAATCTCTTAAATACTCTTTCATATCTGTCATTCCTTTGTTAACATCTTTTGAATATAGACTATAAAAGCAAACATCTCTGCTGACATTATAGCTAATTTCTGATCCCATTCTTCAAATATCTCCTGAAGATGTGCTGACATTTTGTGTCATTTTGTAAACTTTGCTACTAACCAAAAACAATTGGCAAACGTTCATTTTTTAAAAATTGTCTGGACTCTTTAGTGCCCTCTAGTGTCCAATGTTTGAAATCATAAAAGTCTTGAATTCCTGTTTTGATTTAGAATAGACCAAAAAATGTAGTTCCCATGAAAAGCTGTATTTTATTCAATGTTTCAAATTTGTCTTATAAGGCTTATTTGAAATGTTCTTAGAAGTATCTTATTTAGCTTTTTCCTGATTGTTTCCCATTCTTTAAATTCTTATGTTTAATATTTCTTTTATTCAAGAATAAAGATAAACTCACTAGATGGCATTTCAAACCTGTATTTTTACTAACAAAACCATGGGGATTGACAAGTGATTGACAGTATAGTGCTAGATGATAGATGGGTTTGTATATATTTTGTAATGAGTGGCTGGATTCCATCTTACATATTTTGTGTTGTGCTTTTATCTTTTTTTTTTTTTTTTGCTATGTTGAGGGCAATGCCCAGAGGCCATTTGGAGTCAGGTGGCACCTTAAACTAGTGGCCCCAAGCTTTCTGGCTTTGTGGACTGATGGGGGGGGGGAGAGGAAATGGTCCTGTGTGAGCAGCAGGGGCAGCCCCATTTGCACAAGCAGTAGGCACTCAGGCCAATGGAGTGTGTGGTTGAAAAACTACAGGAATTTTACAATGTATCTACAAAAATACAGCAAGCAACAGAAGAAGAATCTATAAAGGTTCTATCTAATGTATGCCAGCATATCTGGAGAGCCACATAGTGGAACTAAATATCAGCAAATATTTAGATCAGAAAGCAACTGCCGAGTGTAGCAAAAGCCAAAGATTGAGTCAAAAGGAACTTCAAGATGTGTAGTGTTTTGTCAGGATACACAGGGAAAATAACTGCCCAGCTGTCACTTCTGATGAAAACCGAACAAGAAGTCAGCGTGGCCTACAAAAAGAAAACGGACAGGTCATCAGTGTGATGAGGCAGGAGAGGGAAGACGCTGCCCTGCAAGCCTAGGAGTGACTTGGTAGTCTTACTGGAGCATGCAGCAGCATCACTTCCAACAAAGCAATCAGTCAAATGTAAATTTACAAACCCCGACCCAGAAAACCTGTTTGCAAATGTTTTATCCCTTCACTATGAGATTGCTAGGGTATCAAGCAACAGACATGCCAATTTGGCTGAAGCCATGGGAGAGGGAAATGAGGAGCCAAGTATTCAAGACTTGGGAAAAGAGATGCTTGAAAAGGGGAAAGGAGGACAAGACTAAGCACAGCAGCCTTTGGCACAAGAAAAGAATTGAGCCCTTGGAAATAGACCGTTGGGACATTAAGCGACTGAGAGGAACAGCCTAAGGACTCTTCTAGATGGCCTGTCTCCCAGGCACCCTGCAGAAGGATTCCAACAGTTGAAGGCTGAACACAGAAAAGCCATGACTCCTGAACGAAAGGAGCTGCTCAAGAGATCGGAGGAAGGGAAATTTCTGGCTCTGTCTGGGATGGTCTGATCCTCAGGAGCATCTGATGTAGCTACTTTCATACACAGACACTGCCTTTGTTTTTAAACAAAGAAAGGTGAGTTGTGTTTTCAGCATAACTGATGAGCTACAACTGTCTACTCACTGACCTGGGAATAAGGTGCAGTGAATTCAGTGGAGACAGACATAGGCCAGATTGTATTGAAGATTGTAGCAGCTTACAAAATCAGATCAGGAAAGGAGAAAGAGGCGATTCCAAGACAGCACAGCTGGTGATCTCTCCCCAGAGCCCTCCTGCCTAACAGCCACCAAAAGAAAATCAGCCCCACAAACAGCTCCATTATTCCAAGTCTGCACAATCTTCTTGTTTTTCACCAATAAAACACAGACATAATCTTCCAGAATGACAAATGTAATTAATTTAAACTGGAGAAAGCAAGCCTGCAAAAGCTCCATGCTCCAGGGCATCTCCAGAGGCAGTCTTTCCCTTAAGGAAAAAGTTTAAATAATACAAATCGGCATAGCACTAACACACAGGTTTGCACAATCCCTAGAGAGCTGATATCCCCGTGAATGCGTATGGTTGACACAACTTCTTCAGACAAGGCAGCTTCCCTAATACAGTGGTGGGAGTCACATTTTTTTACTACCGGTTCTCTGGGCATGGCTTGGTGGCCATGGTTATGTGGTCATGCGACTGGGTGGGCATGGCTAGTCATGTGATTGGGTGAGTCAAAAGACAGAAACTCACTTTAACAATGCTCTTGCTTAGCAACCAAAATTTTGGGCTCAATTGTTGTCATAAGTTGAGGACTACCTGTATAACTCTGAAGGCAGTAATATGGTTATATCACTGGATTAACATTTTAAAAAGGTTACTTAAAAAGATTATATTTTGTGCAACAAATATGCAACATATAAAAATTAAAAACAGAATGGCTAAAATTACATTAATATAAAAGTTCCATTGAAGTGGAAAACTTAAAATATTAACATATTTATACATTAAAAGGTCTTGGAAAATAAAAATATTTTTGCTGTAGTGGAAAGAGATCAAAGTAGGTGCCAACTGGGCCTCACAGGAGTGGGCAATCTACAGCTATTCCCCGCCTGCCTCAAGATAAGAGGCAGCAACCCATTTTTCAGCTGAGGTTGTTTGTTTAAAAATAAATTATGTTTTTAAGAATCACCGTTTTCCACTGCATTTCAGGCAGGTGGTTCTAGTATGGCCTAACAATCATAATGGTCTCACCTCCTAGCATTCAGATACCGACTATCATTCATTTGGGGTGTGTATAAATAATTGTCCTTTTTAAACTAATGTTTTTGTTTAACATGTTTTATACTAGAAACCTCCTCCCTCCCTCTTTCTTTCTTTTTCTTCCTTCCCTCCCTCCCTCAATTGCTTAGGTCCTTGGGGAAAAAAACCCGTACAAATTGAATCCTAGCAGATTGATGCGGAAGTAGAAAATGGATAGAAAAAGAAAGGGGGTAGGAACACACGTTTTAGTACCACACCTCAAAGAACGGAAGGGCCACTTGAAAATGTACAGCTTCTGCTTCTATTTACTGCTTTTCTAGACTGTTTCTTAATAGCAAATCTGTGTAGTGTTAGATTTAATATTACATTTATAAAGATAGCAAAGGAGCAGTATTTCCCATTTAAAACAAAGTGTAGTAATACAGTTAATCATTAAAAAAGATTCAATAGAGCTATGGAAAAAATTAACTTCATTCTTGCTTTTCACGTCTTCTGCTATTTTAGGGTCCAACTGCAAATTAGATGAATATAATATTTATACCACGGAGTCTTCTTTTCATCTCTTTTTCTTTTTCTCTTTCTTTCTTTCTTTTCTTTTCTTTTCTTTTCTTTCTTTCTTTCTTTCTTCTTTCTTTCTTTCTTTCTTCTTTTCTTTCTTTCTCTTTCTTTCTTTCTTTCTTTCTTTCTTTCCCTCCTTCTTCCTGCCTTCCCTCCACCCTTGGGGTACCTCCTAATACCACCCAGAGGAGCAGGACTCATGGGATAGGAGTGAGCTAAAGGGCACAAGATGGTCATGATGTAACTCTATGTCAGATGGGTGCCAAATCTGCAGAAATTCAGCAGCTGGAGGGAGGGAGGTGAGCAGGCAAAGCTGGTCCATGATTGCAGCTTGACTCCTGTGGGCAGAGCTCAGCAGGACCGGTAGCTGTGCCGAGTTCAGGTCCATCAAAGACGTTCCCCACCTTTCTTGCAGTGTCCCAGGGAGTCTGTGGAATGCATCTGTGGCCCTCTGCTGGGGCCAGGCATGTCCCCCGCCTTTGGGTGCAGGATGGCTCCAAAAGGCTTCTTCTTGCTATTGCTGGCTGGAAGCCAACTGGGGCCAGGCCTTTGCTCGGCTCTCTGACCTGCCTGGAGTTTGTATCTGCCTGGATGGAAAGAGGCATACCATTCCCATTGCTTCCTTAGCATTAAGCAAGCAGCTCTTAGTTGCAGTATGCCGAATCCAACTCCCTTCACTTGCAGACGGTTGTAGAGATGGAAGGCAAAGAATCAGAACAAAGAGTTTTCATAAAAGTTTTCACCTGTGAAAAAGAGAAAGACCCTTTAAAAAGGACTAAAAAAAATCAGAATTGGCAGGTTTGCAAACCTCTCTGTTTATTAGAGTGAGGATATGAGGCAGAGCCTTAATTATGGCTTGTAGTGGGGTTACTTCTCTTAGCCGTAGTTCCGTTCATATTAAACAGGGAACGGGGGCATTAATGGCCTCTGGACACCCAGGTGGGAACCAGGAATATTTTCAAAACGGGGGATTTCCAAATGCAACATCTCTGTTGCTCCCTGTTTCCTTCACCCAGGTTGGGGATGAAATAAGTGCACTGAATCACTGAATGGAGAGGAGGTTGGTGTTTCCTGTACAAGATGGCCACTTCTGACAAGCTGAACTTATGTTTTTAAAAAATGATTTGCCGCATGTCTGGCATGGAGACGACAAGCTTTTAAGCAGGCCGTCTCATTCTGTTCAAGGTGCTCGGCTGGCCACTACACTGTTTGGTTTAATGAATAAAGTGCATTGATAAAAACAATGAATTAGTCCCCTTTTCATGCTCCGACAATCCTTTCTTATTTTAACCAACCTGTCTTACCTGGCCTACAAGCTTCCTTTGTTCATTTGGATCATTCTCAAAATCCTTTGTGACATCCAGAATCAAGACAGGCACATCTCTTAAAGCTTCAGAATGGATCCTATGGGGGTGGGGGGGGGGGAGAAAATCCTTTTGATTTAATCAATGTCTGTGGGGATTGCTGAGTGTTCATGTCCTAAGGCAAGTCCTGTTTGCTTGTGATGTAATCACACCACAGGGAGTAAAATGCAGCTCTTGGCCAAGAACACCGTGCCCGCCCACCGTGGGGCTTAGCTGGACGTGCAGGCTCCCTGCGGAGTCTCTTGGGGCCGGGGTGGAAAAGTCCTTCCCTTTGCAGCTGGCATAAGCAGAGCTTTGGTGGACTTCCAGACCCTACTTCCAAGCTCTTTTCACACAGTCCCTTCTTTTTCACATTGCCGTGGTCCTGCTCCTCCAACCTTCCTCCCCTCCCCCATCTGCAGTCCTCTGCCATGGCACTATCTTGCCACGACTCTTCCCCTGCCGCCCCCACGAACATCCTTCCCAGAAAGCCCCTCCCTGCAGGGACCCACAGAGTAGTCTTTTTCGCAAGCCAGTTTTCATGCTGGACATGAAGCTGCTCCAGGTAAGATAGCTGAACCTCCTTTTCTTCGGGCCTGGATCGGCAGCGCAGCCTCTCAAAGCAGACCTAGAAAGGAGAAAGCAACCTTGCAAACCAGCCCAAGATACCCAAAAGCTCTGGGGACTTTTGCCCAACAAATCACGGGAGGCTTCCTGCCAGGATACTGAGTGACAAGCTACAGCTGCTTCGAAGAAAAGGAACAGGAGAGATTGCTGAAACTGGCTGTTGCTTCCAAGGTCCAACTTGCTAAACACCGGTAACTGGTGCCGGTGATGGGGGAGGCACGCACTGCTGGTTTTGCAGTCCAGCAATTATTCTACCATATTTTGAGTTAGAGAAGAAATGTAGGAATTGAAGCTGAGTTTTTTTTTTAAATGCCTGGCAGAAAACATGGGTTGAAGGCAGCTAAAACAGGCGTCGGCTAGGAAGAAGAGCTCAAACAGGAGATACGTCATTATGAAAGAACACTAGTAAAGAGTAGTAACGAGAAGAGAGAAAGCTGGGAACAGAACACAAAACAGTTACTTTTGGTTACCTCTGGAGGGGCCCGGAGATAAAGGAAGCCATGGAGGGCAAGTTGGTCTCCAAAGGTTTGCAGGAGGAAGGTGTGCCAATCCTGGTAAATGATCCACTCAATCTCAGTCATGTGGCCAATCTCAAAGAGATTTTTTGCAAAGATATACCTGAGGAAGGAGAGGAGCCAGTGACACCCCCTTGAGGCCAGAAGTAGGCAAGGACTCAGTTATCTAATATCCTAACCTCGTGCTTTTCAGTTGCCTTGAACTGCAACTCCCATGGTTTGGGCCACAGTAACTGGGAATAATGGGAGCAGGATACACAGATATCTTAAGAGGCTGGCAGGCTCATAGGGGAGAAGTGGGCAAAGGACAGGAACCTCTACCCGAGGGGCCAATTTCTTGATGTGAGAGTTATCTTTCTCCTGAGATCATTTTTGCATTCCTCCTCCCCACCACCATTACAGAACCATGCCAGTGTTCATGTGCAAGCCTCTTCTTGGGCAATTCCAAGAATCTTTTCCAGAAAACTTTTGCTGATAATTTGAAGCTGCTTTTCTGTCAGAAACGCCTTACATCAGGGGTCCTCAACCTTTCTGGCTTTGCGGACCAGTGGGAGGGGGCAGAGGAAATGGTTCAGCGCGAGGGGCAGATGCTTGTGCAAGCAGCTCAATTTACACAAGCAGCAGGCACTCACGCATGTGCATGCCTGCCACTTGCTGAAATGGAGCTACGAGGCCCGAGCAGGCTGAGGCCCAGAGGTTTGGGACCCCACCCCCGCCTTACACCGCTTACAGTATTTGTAAAAAAAAAAAAACCTTACTTTTTTAAAAGTTCAGGTTTGAGGTTTAACATTTAGATTGACAGAGAGCATCATAGTTGTTCAATTATAAAGTTAATCCTCCAAAATACAACTTGCCTAATTGTGTATCTCTTAAACAATTCATAAAATTTAGTGGATTGTGATTTATAGAGATGGATGGATAGATTAATCTGTCAGTACTCCTTTTACATTTGTTTCTTTAAATCCTCGCTCCTGTCTTTTAATGAATTGTGGAGGTTGGTTAAGCCTTTACTAAAAAACACAGCAAATCCTTCCCTGTTTTTAAGGAAACCATTTTGTTTACCAGATTGTAGCAATAGACAGAGGGAGGCTGGAGGTCAATTCCCTTTTTAAGCACAGGCCTCTTCCTTCCCTTCCCTTTTACCTGCAGGGAAAGGCAAAGAAAGCAAACCGGTATACCTGTCGCTGTAGACGGATCTCTCGAACACCAGCACCGCTTCCGGGCTCCGTGGACTTTGGGCGGCCAGCTGAACCTTGAGCCGGCTCAGGCACGAGTAGGTCTGGAAGGTGTAGGACCAGCGGGAAGGCTTTCGGTAGACCATCTCAAGCAGGTTCCCGAAGACTGGGGAAGGGCAGGCCTGAGGAAGAGGAAGAGCTCCTGGTCTGCCGGGGGAGCCCTTCACCTGCCCGCTCGGGGGGAGCCGGGGAGCCCACCCCCACCCCCTCACGACGGGCTTCCGAAGGCCAAGGAGAAGCTCCCCTCCCCCGAGGAGCCCGTCGTGCCTGTCGCCGCTTTTGCCTTCCGCCCTTCCCCCGCCCGGGCGGGTTTTGCACAGCCACCCGCGGGCCAAGCGGGGCCCAAACCGGCGCCTCCCCGGCGACGGCTCGGGCAGATGCTGGCCGGGAGACTCGCGGCAGGGGCGCCGGAGGCAAAGCAGCCGCGGGCGGCTTCTCCTGGGGCCGCGTCCAGCCTACCTACCTGGCGGCCGGTGGCGGCGGCTCGGACCTCCTGCCACATGGCCACCGGCTCGGGAGTCAGGCGCCATGCGGGGAAGGCTTTGCGCAGCAGCCCCACGAAGGTCGACTTGCCCGCCGCTGCGGAGAGGAGGAGGAGGAGGAGGAAGAGAAGCATCAAAGGCCGCCCAGCCGCGGTCTGCCCCCCGCCCTTGCCCCCCCTCCCCGCCTACCGATGTTTCCCTCCACCGAGAGCCTCTTGGCCGCCCGCGAGAAGTTCCCAGCCGCGCCCGCCATGGAGCCGCCGGACGATGAGGGCCTGCGCATGGGCAGGCTCGGCTTCTGCCTCGGAGGAGTGTGACGTAAAATTAGCGTCACGTAATGTAAAATGCAAAATGAGAAATAACTATAAAGGTTAGATTCCACCTTAAAACTTAGTGTGCTCAATTAAACACTAGAAATAAACATAGCGGTAGCCTAAACTTTGAAACTCACCGTAAGGTTAATTGCTGGCCACTGTTATACCACCAACCACCCAAACGGGTACCTGTAACAGGGAGTGCAGGCAACGCCGGTACTTTTGTTTCTTAAACCGCTTTGATACAATAGCGAGTAAAAATCGGAGCAATTTTGTGCCGTGGAAATTAGTTCCAATTAAGCACTGGGATAAATTTCTGGTTGAAGCTCCGTCAAAGAGACGCACAATCGCCCTATCCTTAAATCCTCCGAGAAGGCAGCAAAGAGCCGCTCTCCAGGGTCCTGCTGCGCAGTCTGGTAGCTGTGCAGAGAAGGAAGGACCTCTGCTACGGGCATGCTCCTTCATTTCTGGCCAGAGCGGGAGATTCAGAAAGGACCTGCAGGGGCTATGGGAGCAGCAGCAGCAGCTGCTGCCGCCGCCGCCGCCAAAACGGAAGGGAGGAGATGGGACAGATAGAGGAAGCACAGGGTGGTTCCGATATTTTGCCTCCTATTGAGTTTGGCACTACTTTTCTCAGCATTAGGAGCAACTTCAGTAGCTGTTTTTTGTTTGTCTTTTCTCTAGCCCCCTTTTGGGGCAAGCAGCAGTCTGGGTAATACCTGTTTTTCCTGCTTTCTAGAAGTATAGCCTGTGTGATGGATGCAGGTGAGAATCCTGCTGCAAAATTGTTCATCAGGCTGCCTTTTGGGAAAGAGAAACAGTCGAGCGTGTGGCTGCCAAGATGACCATCCTATCCTTTGTGCCTGGCGGAGAACAAGAGCTTGGAGTTTAGAGGTAAAGAGCGGGTGTTTTGTATTACGTTTCTTAATGGGTGCCAGTGGGTGTAGGTAACTGCCTCTCAAGCCATAGCAAACTAGACTTTTCCCAGTTGGACCCCGCATCAGTTGGTTCCCCCTGGGAGAGGCAGAACCGACAAGCCATTGCTGTTCCCCAAGCTATTAGAAAGGGTGAGAGTAACTTTTGTTTTCAGTTATTTCTTTCTCTCTTTTTTTGTACAATTAGGAGGATAAAAGGCATTCGGAAGCTGCGGAAGAGCTTCGACACGCCTGATGGAGAATGTACACTCTGGCTCTAGCAGGGAAGGGAGGAGGACGGGTGGGAGATGGGTTTCCTCTGTTCACGCGTTGGCATCCGAGGGGGCCTTTGAATGGAAAGCTGGCCTCGCTTCCCTCAAGCGTGGTCTGTCTTTTGCTTCCTTTCCTCGACTTTGGTGCCGCCGTTGCTTTTCCTTACCCCCCCATTGCCTGTCGCATCTTCTCAGGCTCTGATGTTGTGGCGGTGCCACCCCTGGGCATGGACTCTCTGATCTTGCCACTCTGTCCATCAATTGAGGCCTGTCTCGTTTCCCATCCTCGACTTTGTTGCCGCCACTGCTTTTCCTCCCCCCCCCCCTTTTACCCGTCGCATCTTCTCAGGCTCTGATGTTCCCAGGGCCTGCACGCCTAGGGGATGATCCTAAGAGCTCGCCAGTCCCCAAGGACCCTGGTTTGTACCCTGTGACTGTGGGGGCGCCACAGCAGCCTGTGAAAAAGTCCCATGGCAACTCAACAGTCACTAAATGAGCCAGTCGTAAGTAGAGGCCTATCCAAACGAGGAAGACGGTGCAGCCGCAAGCCAGTAGCCGACGGGGAAAGCAGGGATTTACCGAAGATTAGGGGGGAAAAGGAACAATGTTTTTTGTGCACAATGACGTGTTATTGTTTAGGAAAAACCAAAACGGAGGGCAACCCTGTGACATCGCTCACCCGTCCCCTACCCGCCCCCCCTTCACCCAGGATCAAGGAGACCGAGAAGCGCGGCCCGCAGAGCAGAGCGTCAGGGAAAAAGCCCCGGCACTCTATGTGCTCTTGAGACGATTAAGTTCCTTTGAAAATGACTTTCCCAATATGGCCGACTTCCCGTCCGTTCTTCTTAGTCGTCCTCCCAGCTTCCTTTCGCAGCGACCTTCTCGGCAAGGCGAACTTCCTGTCCATTGTCCGCAGCCGTCACCTCCTGCCTTTGAAAAATGACCTTCCCATCATGGCCGACGTCCCGTCCCTTCTTCTAAGTCGTCCCTCCAACTTCCTTTCGCGCGGACATTTTCGCCACGGTGAACTTGTCCGTTCACGCGGCCGTCCCCCCGCCCCCCCCCCGCCTGAGAAGAACGACCCCTTCCCCGCCCTCCTGCGTACCCCCCCTCCTTTTTTGCC